TGCACACTGCAAGCCCGGTGAAATGCATGGTGCAAATCCTGGGTACCTGCACACTGCAACCCCGGTGAAATGCATGGTGCAAACCCTGAGGACCTGCACACTGCAAGCCCGGTGGAATGCATGGTGCAAACCCCGGGACCTGCACACTGCAACCCCGGTGAAATGCATGGTGCAAACCCTGAGGACCTGCACACTGCAAGCCCGGTGGAATGCACGGTCCAAGCCCAGGGATGTGCACAACACAAGCACGAAGAGGTGCACATTGCAGCGCTGGGCAAGCGCACTGTGCAACCCAGGAATATGCACACCGTGCAAAGCCCTGAGGCCGCACACAGTGCGACCCCAGGCGCACACACGGTGCAATCCCGGGGAAGCACATGGTGCAATCCCGGGAAAGTGCACGGTGCAATCCTGGGGATGTGCATGGCACAATGCCAGGGAAGCGCAAGGTGCWACCCYRGGGATGTGYGTGGTGCAAYGCCAGGGAAGCGCAAGGTGCAACCCCGGGGATGTGCGTGGTGCAATCCCAGGATGCGCGCAGCGCAATCCCAGGATGTACCCGGTGCAATCCCGGGGAAATGCATAGTGCAATCCCGGGATGCGCACGGCGCAATCCCATAGAAACGCGGCCACCCGCAAACGCGCCCCGCGGCCCCCGCTGACCTGAGCTCATGAGGGCCGGGCACGGCGGACACGGGCACGGCGGACACGGGCACGGCGGACACGGGCACGGCGGACACGGGCACGGCGGACACGGGCGCGCGTGGCGGCGCCGCAGTCGGAGGAAGCCGGCGCGGGGGCTGACGGGAATTGTAGTTCCCACCCGCCCCCGGCGGCCGCCCCAGGAATTGCAAGCAGTCCTGCCCAAAAAGGGGGTCCCCCCCCGCACCCCCTTCCTTGCCCTTTCGCAAGGAAACCCCCCAAATTCCGCTCCAAAAAGCGGCCCCCACCGACCGCTTTGCCATGCAGACCGAGCTGCCCCCATCCCTCTTTCCCAGGGGGAATTTCCCAGGGGGAAAGCCCTCTCCMGCTGCCATGCCCAGTTGATTCCAGCATTTTCTTCCCGGAATAAGAATTCCRACTTCCTATGGAATAAAGCGCACCGCAGCTCCCCGCTGCTGGGGGCAGCACCTAAGGCACCGGCGGGACGGAGGGGTCCCAGTGCACCCACAATGACCAGGGCGCAGCAGGACGAGGCCAAACTTCACCCCAGGACCAGGAGCGAGAGCCACGGCGCCCGCAACGCAGCAGCCACGCCRCGCTGCTCTTTACAGCGTTTATTGCCCGTGCAAATCCGCGCAGACACAGCCGCGGCCGGGGGCTCCTCGCYGCGTCCGCCTCACGCCGCCGCCGTCTTCTCTTTGTACGTTGCCATCATCTTCTTGATCTCGGCAATGGCTTTGCCGGGGTTCAGACCCTACGAGACACAGGGGCACAGTGAGATCTGGAAATGAGCACGTGGGGGCACCTGCGGACAAACTGGGCGATAGATCCCGCTGCAGACCCCGCTGCCTTGGCCCGCTGGCTGCTCCGGGAACCCTCCTTGCTGTTTTAAGACAAACTGGCAACCGAGCAGGCAGGTTTTGGTCAGCAACCCAAGGAGCAAAGCTCAAAAGTTAAYGGTTGAGTGGCAGAAGCTTGAATATAATGTCCTGCTTGAATATAAGCAGGGCTCAATTGGGTACTCTCAGGTGATCAGGAGGTTTCCCGGAGGCAGGAACTTCATGGCAAAGTCCTGAGAGCTGCATTTCAGACTGGAGGAAAGGGAAGGAGATTGGGGATGCCAGTCGCCCTGTGACAGCACTACAGCGGGTGCCTGCMAACACCTCGTTATCCCCGAGCGCGTCGCCCACCAAACGTTTGCCTCGGTGGCCTTTCCACAGCGAAAAACCTGCGCTGTCACCCGGCGYGACAGGAGCCTGGGTGGAAACAAAGCAGGCGGCAGGAAGGTGYGGCTGGGGAATCTGCCCCACGCGGGGAACGCGGCCGCGGCGAGAGGAGGAAGCAGCAGCTTCCAGTTCTCGCCASAAACACCAGGCAGAAGCAGCCAGCCCAGACTGGTCCTGTTGGGAGGATGGGAGCAGCCAAGGGACACCCAAAGGGGCTGGGGAAAGCTCCCCGCGGCCTCGTGCTCTGCCCAGGACACCGCAGGGGCTCGGTTACCGCTGCTGGTTTAAGGCAGGAGCCGCAACGTGGAAGCCCGTCACGGCAAGGCCAGTGGGCAAAGGGGCAGCGCTGACCCACCTTGGGGCACGTCCTCGTGCAGTTCATGATGGTGTGACAACGGTAGAGCGAGAAGGGGTCCTGCAGCTGCGCCAGCCGCTCCTCCGTGTAGTCGTCCCTGGAGTCGATCATCCAGCGATAGGCCTGGAAGCGAGCGGCGCTGGGCAGGTGGCGTCCCCCGCGCCCGGTGCCCGCGGGGCCCCGCGACGCGGCCTCACCTGCATGAGCACCGCGGGGCCCAGGTACTTGTCGCCGTTCCACCAGTAGCTGGGGCAGCTGGTGCTGCAGCAGGCGCACAGGATGCACTCGTAGAGCCCGTCCTGCGCGGGGGCGGGAGGCGGGCGTCAAGCCTCGCCGCGCGCCCCGCGGGAGCTTCGCTCGGGGGAAACGGGGCAATTACACACGCTCGCGGGGAGAGGAACCTGCCCCTGGCTGAGGGACAACCCGAGGCAACGCTACAGAGACCCTCGGCTGCCAGAAAGCCTCRGGAGCAGGTGAAGAACCTGCAGCTGATGATGCACCGCGAGGGGAGCCCCAAACATCTACACAGGAGCAACAGTCTGAGTTCAGTTTAGAAGCTGATCCGGGTTTATACCAGATGCACTGAATTATCGTGGCTGTTTTTATCTATTTTGGAAGACTTCAAGGACCATTAAGTTGGAATTAATCATCTTGTTCTCAACTTGTATTGTTTCTAATCGTAATGCCTCAGATTACYGAGGATTTAAAGATAAAACTGAGGGTTTCTGCAATTGCCTTTTATCCAGCACGGTTTCTCATGCACACAGGTTGTTCTGAGAGCAGGAGAAACTTCAGGGGAATAACAATACCAAGAGGATTTGGGCAYAGCACTCGCAGCTAATGTCAGGTTCAGTCATTTTTGCTTAATTTAAAAAGATAAAAAAGGGAAAAAAACAGATTTTGAGGATGCTGCTTTACAAAAACGATCTGAAGGGAGCCCTTGTGGAGATAACACCAGGAAACGGTGCAGGAAACCCGACTGCGCTCTGGGATAGAAGCTCCTTCCAAGTGCAAAACCCTGGGTCTGTTAAGACATCTCCACGCCAGTCGCACGGCGCTGCTGACATCTCGGACTCACGAGTCTGTTCATCAGATGTTTAACTTCACAGGCAATACTGCTATGGAAAACTTTGGAAGCTCGTGGCAGAGATGAGGCTGTCAGCTCACTCGCCTGCAATAAGTCTTCTTCACCGACCCTGCTACCTTTTACTGAAACCACAATTGCAGCAGAGCTCCTCTCAACTGTGAGGTGACCGGAGGATCCACCACGGCAGGACAGAGCCAAATGAAATCCTCCGTTTAAAGATGCTTACTGCGGGAGCCGTGGAAATCCACRGGAACACTTACCCACGGTGCAAGCTCTTTAAAACCTGCCCCTCTCCCTGCTGCTCGGAAGGCTCTGTTGCTCTTTGCTCCCTGCGGTAGCTTCACCCCAAACCACCACATCCCACAAAGCTGAAGCCCCCCAAAACCAACACAGTGCTCGGAATGGATCCCCAAGGTCCAGCACCAATAGAGGGGCTAAGATACCTTGGGTCYGGCTTTGCCTCCACAAGGGCTGGCTTTTACCAGGAGCTTTAAGGATGCAAAACCCTGGGAGTAGGGGCGGGATGGCATTGTTAAGCACAGTTAAGCACAGTGCTGAGCCTGACAGCCAGCATAAATCGCAGTGCCTTATCTCCACGGAAATACTCCAACGCTCCACCCTCCACAGCATTTTTAAGGACACATAAAGAGATTTGCAGTGAAAACAGTGTTTCACGAGCAACTGTGACCCCCAGCAATGCAGCCATGCCAGGGAGGGAGCAGCTTCCACCCGCAGCAGCGGCTCCTGCACCAGGCACCTCTCCACTACCCTCAGCACCTAAGCCAGCTCCTATCTGCAAGGGATTTCGAGGGTAGGAAAGCAGCAGTAACCAGTTTCTGACGGTCTTCTATGGACTGCAGGTACTGGGCCTTGCCCTGCTGCGACTCGTCCTTCTTCTTCAGGTAAGGCTCGATGGATTTGTACTGTGCGTAGAAGTTGCTCAGGTCCTAGGATGCAAAAGGCAAAAAGCATCACGTGGAGCTAGCACTTGCTACCGCTTAAACAGCGAATGCCACCTCGCGTGTCAACCCACCACACTCCTCCAAGGGCAAATGAACTTCACTGCTGCTGCAGAGCTCAGGGCCACCCATTGCACAAAGCATCCAGAGGAAGGTGCCAGTTGTGGCATATCGGCTTTGTCACCATCCCTCCCATCCTTCCTTCCAACTCCAACTCAGACCCCTTGTTAGGGGGGACCCTTGGTCCCAACCCCGCTGGCTGCTCACCGGCACGAGATCCTTCACCACATACATGTGGGGCAGCGGGTAGATCTTGGTGGTCTTGCTGAGGTCACGGTCAATCCTTTTGGTGCAGGCCAGCGTGTTTCCTCCAGCAATGTTCATAGCGCAAGAACCGCAGATACCTGGCAGGGGGGGGCAAGAAAACAAAAGCAAAGCCATYAAGAAAGAGGGCATACACCCAGCATTTTCCTCTTGTTTTACTTGGGAATAGATCCTCTTTGCTTCAAATGAGCTCCTCGGTGTCTTCCATCTCACTGGCTTTTCAAGCAGCTCCGTACGTGACGGGGCAAGYGCCCGAAATTGCCACGGGGTTAATTCGAGCGCTATTTAACCACAGCAAACAACCTCCACGTCCTTCCTCTGAGCACCTCTTCCAGGCCAAAGCCGCTGCGGAAGAACAGCTCACAGCTTTCACAACATACATCACAAAACACACACGTCAGGAGCTCCTTGAAGCGGCTGGAAGCGGGAGAACGAGCGCCGGCGGCGGCGGGAACATCTCCYGCGCCGCGTTGGTGACGCGCTCGGCTTCGTCCCCACCTTTGGGAGCCGGAGCGGCAGCTCCGCAGGGGCCGACGCTCCGGTTGCGGTCACCAACGTCCCCAAGGGGCAGGAACATAAAAGGGAGCTGGTGTTCCCATGACTTCTGCAGCCGGAGAGAGCCCTGTCGTGAACTGGGCTGCAGACGGGAAGGGATGGGGATTCCCAGGACAAACAGCACGAATTCAGCACAACAAGTGCATGAAACGACGCCACTGATGACCTCCCAGCAATGCAGGGAGCAGATATAACCAAGCCAAGCACAAGGCAGAAAAATACCCGTACAATTCAATCCCATTCACCGAGTTTCGGGGTTTTTTTCCACCTCTCAGGAATTTTGCTGCGAAAATTTCTCTTGATTTTCTATGTCATGCACAACACCTGGAAAAGTTGCATCAATTCCCGAGCTTTCCACACACACACACACCACCATCAGCTTTGGCTTTTCCCGGGCTGCAAAGGCCCTTTGAGAACAGTCTCCACTTCAGCAGCGTGAGAAGCCCTTCTTACCTTCCCTGCACGACCTGCGGAAGGTCAGAGTGGAGTCCATCTCGTTCTTTATCTTGATGAGAGCATCGAGCACCATGGGCCCGCACCTGCAAAGGGAAGGGAGCCCGTGAGCCCGCGCCACCGCCCTCTGCCCCGGCGCTGCCGTTTGGTGTCCCCACTAAGGGCCGCCCGAAAGGGCTTTCACCTCAACGCCACTGAAACGGCAGTTTTGTTAAGCCCGGGCAGGCGGTTAGACTCTGCTCGACCGGCAGGGCGTTGCACCGAGTGCTCGAGGTTGGAGAGAAGCATTTTCTTTTGCTGATGCCCTCATGATCTGACGCAATCGCTTCTGCTGATGCCCCTGATGAGCAGCAGAGGATTCACAGATCCCTTAAGGGTGGACGGGACCCCCAGAGATCGTCCAGTGCAGCCCCCTGCACACGCAGGTCACCCAGAGCACAGGCTGCATCCAGGYGGGTTGGGAAGATCTCCAGAGAAGGAGAGATCCAGGCAGCAGAATGGAAAAACCTCTCCCCAAGTGCCTCGCTACCGGGTCTCTCCTTTTAAGTCAGGTTTTGACAAGTTTAAGTCAGGTTTTGATCTAACAAGGTCTGCCTGGCCTCATTAGTCACAGCAGAGGCAGCAACGCGAAGAAACAAACAACCCTGGACAACTTACATAACCTTCCACACGGCAACACCCTGGAGTTAGGAAGCAGGGCAAGCCCCGARGCAGGAGGGCTGGAGCGCTGCGTGCCGGGGTCTCCGAGGGGCGGAATTCCGATGGCGGCGGCAGGAGCCCAAGCAAACCACGGGCCAAGGTGCCTGTGCTGCAGTCCCCTCGTGGTGGGATCTGCTCGGCCCGGCGGCAACGCCTGCTCCCACCGAGGAGCTGCTCCTGGGCGGGACTGAGGCGCCTCTTCACGGCCACCCCACCGGTGGAACCGCCGCCGAAGCCSCACGAAAGCGCTGGCACCTCCGGCTGCTGCCCAAACACTTCTTACCCACCCTCCCCCGCCATTCACCAGGTCCCTGGCGTGGACAAACAGCCCCGGCGATCCCGCCCGCCGGCTACAGCCGGGAACCTTCTCCCTGAAGATGAGCGCTGCCTTATTGAGATCAGCACTCACTTGTTGAGGTCCACCTCGTAGGTCTGCATGCGGGGCTTGTCGCCGGGCTTGTCGGGGTCCCATCTGTAGATGGAGAACTTCTTGATCCGCGGCGGCGCCTGCGAGGCCGGGGCGGCCGCCGCCGCCGTCTGCGCTCCCCGACACCCCTGCGTTCAGACAGGGACCGTTCAGCTTGACATCCTCCGGCGCGCGCAGCTGGCAAAGGAAACGGCGGGGAGCCGGGGGCTTGGGCGGGAGACACCCGCCGAGCGCCTGCAGATCCCGAATTCTCCAAGGACGGGAAGGCTCCGCCGGCCTGCGGCTGGGCACGGCTGCGGGCAGCGCCGTGACGGGCCGGTTAACCGCGAAGGGGCCACGAACACGAGCCCCACGGTGACGGCCGCGAGGCCGAGGGCCCCGCGGGGCCGCCCTCATTCCCCAGGGAAGGAGAGCGGCGAGCGGGACCCCCGGCACCGCGCAGGGAACAGGGGGACAGCCGAGACCCCCCCCCAGCGCCAAGGACGGGGGGGGCCGCTGCCGTGACGCCGGCAGCCCCCCAAGGGGCCGCGCGGGGCCCCCCCGGCCCCGGCCGCCCTCACCGGCAGCAGCAGCAGCCGCGCCGGGACGCGCCGCCTCAAGGAGACTCCCACCACGGCCGCCGCCATCTTAGCGCTGGCGCAGCTTCCGCCGCGGGAGCGGAAGTGGCAGCCCCGGATCATAGAGACGCGGCGACACCGGAGCTGGCCCACCACACGGGGCGCGGCCATTTTGTGTGCGGCTCCGGGCGCCATGTTGAGTGTGGCTCGCGCCGGCGGCGCCATGTTGGGGCGCGCGAGGCCTGGCCCCGCTCGGCCCTGCTCTGCCCCGGTGCTGTCGGTCATGGCTGCGGTGCCTCCTGCCCCTGTCAGCAGCTCCCCGCGCAGCTCAGGCCGCTCCGCACGTTGGATGGCGCCCGGCACACAGCAGGACATTCCCAACGTTTCCCAGCACACAGCAGGACATTCCCAACGTTTCCCGTGACAGGGCAGGACAGTCCCAACATTTCCCGGCACACAGCAGGACATTCCCAATGTTTCCCGTTACAGAGCAGGACATTCCCAACATTTCTCGGCACACAGCAGGACATTCCCAACGTTTCCCAGCACACAGCAGGACATTCCCAATGTTTCCTGGCACAGAGCAGGACATTCCCAACGTTTCCCGGCACACAGCAGGACATCCCCAACGTTTCCCATTACAGGGCAGGACATCCCCAACGTCGCCTGTTACGGCGCAGGACATTCCCAATGTTTCCCGTTACGGAGCAGGACATTCCCAATGTTTCCTGTTATGGAGCAGGACATCCCCAATGTTTCCCATTACAGGGCAGGACATTCGCAACGTTGCCCGTTATACGGAGCAGGACAATCCTCAACATTTCCCGTTACGGAGCAGGACATCCCCAACGTTTCCCATTACAGGGCAGGACATTCCCAACCTTTCCCGTTACAGGGCAGGACATTCCCAATGTTTCCCAGCACAGAGCAGGACATYCCCAACGTTTCCCGTTACAGAGCAGGACATTCCCAACGTTTCCCATTTTTATTCGTGTTGGTACAGGCTGCCGCCGCTGCAGCCTGCCGGGAATCACCGTCTCGCCCGTGTTTTTCCCTTCCGCAGCCGCTTCCCGTGCGTGCGGCCCCGGGCAGGGCAGTAACGGGGCCGGTGCTCGCGGGCACCGGCGCTGCGCGGCGGCAAAGCGGGAGGAGAAGGGAAGGGAGAAGAGGGAAGAGAGAGAGAGAAAAGAGAGGGGAGAGAAAAGAGAGGAGAGAGCAGGGGAGAGGAGAGAGGAGAGAGCAG